TAAATTTTTTTTTGTTAATAGTTTTCCTTCTATGTTAAAATGTTTAGAACTTTTTATTTCACGTTAGATGTATGATTTTATCAACCTTGTGCAGATTAGAATACATAGCTCAGGGTGCTCCAAACCCAGGCCCGCGGGCCACATGTGGTCCGCTTCGCATTTGCGGGAGGGTGAACAAAAAATCGCATTTGGTGTTGTTTCGTCATAAAAATAACCCGAAAAATCTTTTGACATATTGCTACATCACTAATGTCACTGAATTGACTAGTGTTATGGCTAGCTGGGCAACTAGTGAGGTTGAATAATGTGTTTGGCTAGTCTAAATTGTTAACTGAGTTTCTATCTTTTTTGGTTGGGAATATATGCTAACTAAATAGGCTTCATACGAAAATAAAAATCGAATGAGGAATCTAGTAGCCTAGGTTGACTATGCATGATAACGAAATATCAATGTTATGGCCGAACAATATAATTCCTGCCGGATGTTTTTTTGCCTAAAGCCCAAAGAGTATTAGAAAAAAATGCTGCCTATAAGTCGGAAAATCTAGTAATTAACCTCCTGTATCTAAAATTTGGTCAAATTCGGTAATCAATCAATCTGCAGTTATTTTGTAATCATGAGTTTGAAAAGAAAGCTGATCAATTCAAACAGATTTTTTACTAGACAAGGGAGGAAAAATACCACAATGCTCGCGTGGTATGTCTGCAAGTTGTATTGGATTGTACAATCTGAAACGGCATTTCTCCTTGTGACACTTTATCCGTTATGAAGAGTTTGAAATCTTACACTAAAGTCACTAAATGTAGATATAGTAAGATTTTGCACGTTTTAGTGAGTTTTTTTGGTGGTTTCTGCATGTTTTAGCTTGATAAATGACAAATAATGAATAATGTGTTTGGACAATAAGGTGTTTCTTTTGTATTGCACTGTTTACCTATTTTTGGCACTATTGTGGCTCGCGAATTATGCAAAAATATGAGTGTAGCCCGGGAGGCCGACAACCTTGGACAACCTGAATAGGTTATTCAAAGTCTGTGCTATTTTGGCAGCTATTCTGTAAAATACAAAGCGCACCTTCAGAAGAACTATTTCCAATCTCATCAAAGGTTACGTATGTGCGTATTTAATATATTTAAAAGATTCCAAACGAATTTAAGCCTAGAAAGTTTATACGCGTCGTTCAGTCATCGTTTTAGAAAACGCGAGTCATAACTTTGCCACTACGTATTACAATAAACACAATCGTTGCCAATATCTACTCATCGTCGAATTTCCGCAATACTGAAACATGGTACCTAATAGGTGGATGTCTCGGGCCATGCTTTTCGTCAATACGTCCGTTCAATACGTCCGCATATGAAACGACGCGTATACGTACTTACGCTTCGGACCACACGTCGCACATTGTTGATGAACGTCAGTGGCGTATCTGCGTTAAATTGCGCCCATGGCATAGTTTGAAAATGCAACAAGGCTCAACAACTTCACATTAAAAGCCTACTTAGGTTAGTAATCTGACGCGGCTTTAGGTGGTAGGGTTTGAGTTGAGGCTTCCTGAATTGGTTATTAAAGATTGATTGATCGTTTATTAACAATTTTTATTAATGGCTGTTGTAGGAAATCTTTGTACGTTATTATTCAAGTAAAAATACGTGTTTCATTTATTTTCAGTTTTAAACCGGATTATCAGAACTTTTTACAATTAAAACTTGGCACTCTTTTTGTGTCGCTATTAAATGGCTGCCATACGCTATGACCCAGCAGCGTTTCCGAAACTGGGGTCAGCGGACCCCTGGGAGTCCCTGATGACTGCACAGGCGGTCTGAAACAATATGAAATGAGTATGATCCATCTTTATTGATTTTTATCAACCAAAAAGCCATTGTATTTTTTGGTTGAGCGTTGCGGGCGAATATTCATTACTTTCAAAAAAGGCAATTAAAGTTTTATTGCCTTTTGCAACGACCTACATACATGTGTGAAGCGGCATTTGTTTAGGCACAGAAATTGATAAGGCATAGCATGAGGGTCCGTCAGAACTGAAATTCACAAACAGGGGTTAGCGACCAAAAAGTTAAAGAAACCCTGCTAGAATAGACCACTGATAGCCCTATGTCTGCACTAGAGCGTGCGTGAATCGAAATGTTTGTTTAGAAACGTCCGTGGGCCTAAATGACTGTAACTCATGTTTACATGAATAGGCCAATGTAAAATTCCGACTTGGTTTATATTATTTGAAAAAAATATTTTAAAATCTGAATCTTGACATGTATTTCGCATAAACTCGACGTGCTAAATAAAACTGACTGCAATATTTGATTTGTGTCGATAAGATTAGACACCATCTCTTTATAAGCAATCAAATATGGGTATTTTATTTGTCATAAGAAATTGAGATAAATATACCTGTGTTTCGTTGAAGTCGCTTGCAGAATGGATTTATGATTAACTAAATCAATGCAGACTCACACAAAGACCTGTCCTGGCTCAATTTTGATGCTTATTGAATACATATGTAGGGTAAGAGAGTACCGCTCAATTTAATACGGCTGAGCATGATACAGTTATGGAAAAGTGTCATTTAACTACACTCAAGAGTAGCTGAATGTTCGTTCGTGTTTTAAGATTTGTGAGTCAATAGTATAAAAATCTAGAGAAGCCTTTTAGATTTACAACGGCTCATACAACGCATTCTTTGTTGCATAAGAGATTACAGTGATTATATATAGCCGAATATATACATGCTCCATGAAGAGGATAGGTATCAGTTTAGTTTATTCGATTTCTTTTTTGAATTATTTTCCGAATTATAGAAACATATTTTTATTGAAACTTGTTATGTCTTGAGCACAGGAATAACCCCAAAGTCAATTTCTCTTCTTCAAATATCACCAATAATCCCTATGACACAACACAGCTGACGAGAAGCAAACAATATAACTTTCTTAGATATTTGACCATGACTATGGCAATCCATTTTATTATTGTTTTAAAACAATATATAAAATAGATATTTAACTGTACCATTTCCATATGGACTGTCTCTGCGTGTACAATTAAAAAAGTTGCAAAGTTCACTTCTAGTATAGTTATTGAATACTTTACTTTCTTATAAGCTTTGAAAATAATATATACAAATTTATAAGCATATTTCCTTATGGACAACGTCTGTGTATACAAGTAAAAAAGTTGACTTTTAGTACAGTTATTGAATACTTATTATTAGTAAACCTGAAAGAAACCACTATTAGCAATTAGTGTTGACTGGAAGACCCGAGTCAAGTCGAGTCACGATTTATAAAAGGCGGGAGTCGAGTCAATCACTAAGTTCAATGTCTCTGGAGGTTAGTGGATGACGAATTCTAGTCATTTCATTCAGATAACCGGAGTCAATGACCCCCTATCGCCCCCTCCCTCCAACACTGACAGCAACCACTATATAATGTTTTCTTGTTTGACAGGCATACTAATTCCTAATTTTTGTTACAAAATGAATTTCAAGCAAGTGCGGACCAAGTACTTTCCTCGAATATCTAGTTTTAAAAATGTTTACGATGAAGACCGGTTAATGTCAATTCATCCGGAGCAATGCGGTCGCGTGATAAAACTTGCCAATATCCCAAAGTATTGCTTCGAAAAATTGATATCAGTTTTGGAAAATTCGAAGTTGGAAAAAATTATGCTGGCGAATTGTTTAACTCATCCTGCGCACACTCTGCAAGTACTTCAAGCTATGCAGAGAAACGTTAATCTTCAGGTGAGTAGAAGATTTATTAATAATACTAAAAAGTACTGCACTTTTTAGGCTATATCTCTGGTATATTTCATGATCCTTTTATCCTTTTTAAAGAATCATATCAAACTCCCATTTGTTCACCACTGAACATGACGATATTGATAAAACGAGAGAGCAATGTTCATTTAGTGAAAATTTTATATGTGCCAGTGCCAGTTTATTTTGATTGCTGTTCATTTCGTGGTTATCTTTGTGTGAAAGTCACCCTGTGGCAAATAATTGAAATCTGTTCACTGGGCCTCCTTAGTTCATAAACTGTCGAGACGAAGACAACTAGGTCGAAAGAGTATTTTCTTCCTCGGAGGGTACCATTCACGAAATTTCAATCATCGACATTATAATTCATAATAATTCATTATAAGACGAATAAATAACGAAAGATTATGGAAAAAATGAAAAATTTTCAACGATTGAAGTTTTTTTTTTTGCTGCTGCCATGGAAACAAGATATCAATTCGGACATTAGTTGAAACGCACCATACTTGCATAACCCACGCGAGAAATTTAATCAAATTGGCCAAGACACTATAGCTAAACAGACAGACTGAACGACTGAGAATAAGGGTCTGCTTGAGTAGAGATCTAATAATAATGTTTACAAACAACCTATATGACCACTAATGTACAGGGTGACGCCCCTCTCCTAGAACAAAAAAAAACAGAAACCCTAAATGTCCTATTTACGCTAAAAACATAAAGCAATCTAGGACGCTTCGCACAAAAGTTATGTGCCATGTGGAGTATATTTAAAATGACATGGCTTCTGTTTTGGGAGTTACTCTCTAAATGTTGTAAAACATAGCACAATACATGTACTTTACAACTATTTTCAGCATATGTTTTTATCACTTACATATAGCACAGCAATCCTCAAACTTTTAAGCCGCCCCTTATTAGAATTTATCGCCCACTTATTTAGCGCCCCACCTCAAAAATAACTAGATAACACTAAGCTATAAATAACAGATAGTACGCTAACAAGTGTTTTATTGAAAAGCACGTTTGAATACGTGAATGAAATGTAAATATCAAAAGAGGACGGGCAAGGTCAACTAATATTTATATTTAGCTTCCCCCCCCCCCCCCCCCCCCCCTTTACAAAATTGTCTACGCCCTCTTAGTGAGATGCTTTCCACCGTTTGAAAACCACTGATCTAGAAGATGGTAGACAGTAGTAGCATAAATTTTTTTAGGAAAATAAAGTCAATTTTTGTTTGTTCAATTTGAGAAAATTCACCTTGATGTTCAACTAAACGGCTGCAATGAAGAATGCATTATGCTCATTGTTGATCTCATTTCTAAACGTGTTATTAATTCGTTCGAAGTTCCATACAATATGACCGAAGAGAGGACGGAGGTATTGCTTGAAGGAATAGTACGTTTTGGTGCTAAGGTACGTATTGAGATCTTTTGTATAGAGCCCGTGTCATTAATGAAAAAATGTTACATTTAAAAAAACACTCCCGTCACGTTTTAAAGTAATAAATTAGTGATTATCCAGTTAGGGGTTAGGGTTAGTAATGATTTGAAAATCTGAAATTCCAGCGCAATCTGTATTCCCTACCATAACGCAAAACAAAACTGGATAACTGAAGCCGATTAGACAGCTTAATTATATGGCAAACCACAACTTTAATTTATCAAAATAGTCAATAAAACTTTGCTTTGCTCAGTAATTCATTAATTCGTTTTAGCTTTGAGTAGAATGATGTATGTGGCCATCGCATCGCCGCAAAATTCGAAATTTATTCTATATTATGACAGCCATACATAATCGTCTATTGATTTATCGAGTTTCCCATATATATGATATCCTATATTAACCAGAAATACACAAACATGCTCTATGTTTGGATTAAAAAACAACAAATGTCTGAGTGATTACAGTTTCTTTCAAGCCCATAATGCTATATCATTGCTTCGTTCAATAATAATTTGGCAAAAAGCAAATATTTGATTTTCATGGCGTCATGACGAAATCGGACAAACATACGCCTGCTATGAAGAATTCATATAGTAAAATAATTACACATATCACAATCAATGCACCTAAAATTGATATATAAAATGGGGCGAATGGTTAAACTAAGCAAATGAAGTGGAATTCGTACGTTCAAGTTTAAGATAGATACCAAAATAATACAGTAATCGTAAATGGTACCATGAGACGGCTTTGCTCGTGGTCAGAAGATCAGCTCTGTGGCCACCCTGGAAATAACTTTTTTGTTGGTAAATTTCTGTTTTAATTTTTTATTGTTTTTGCACATTGAAGTCTGGAATAAATATCTTTATATAAGGTGTCCATAAAGTCCTAAATTTTTTTTGAATTGCGAAGGGAATTTATCGATACCATCTATTGGCTTGGCCCCCACAGATGTACTAAATGAAGTTAAAATACTCAAACAACTACTGATTAAAAAACAACAAATCTAGTTAAGATATATTGAGAACTGACTTCATAACAAAATTTAAATTTTAAAGGAACTTTATGGACACCCCGACGCTATAGTGTGGTACATCTCATTCTTTAGTACTAATTTAAGTATCTAATTTAGTAATAGATAACTTTAGATCTATACAAAATATCAACATTTGTGTATTTTTGTTTCTTTTAGATGAAAATATTGAACTTATGTGGTTCCGTGCTAAACGAGCAATCAATCAACTATTTAAAGCAATTGTTAACTAACGGAAAAATATCAGAAATTCTTCGTTTAACCAACTGCAAAGGTGTAGCTGAGTCGCATCTCACAACTGAAGATAAAAAACAGTTAGAAATTGCTGCAAAGAATTCTACTAAATTTGTAAGTCAAGTCTAGTTTTAGCACAGTCATCTTAATAGCCTTGTCTCTATCGCCAACGCACAAATTTCACAGACCACAGAAAAAAAAATAACCAATGCTCAAGGAACAGTTTCCGAGAGGCAACCACCTTTTTTAAAAAAATTTTGAGACCTTTTGGAATGCACGAATACAAACAAATTTTGAGACAAAATTTACATTTTTGCCGGATTTCCCGTCGATCCATTATGGTGATCAGAATACAATAAAGTCTTAATTGCAAAATGAATTTAGCAATACCATCACAGATGTAAAATGAAGTCAAAATACTTGAACAATTACTGTTTAAAAAACAACAAATTGAGAATTGAGTAATTGAGATAAATTAAGGACTAACCACATAACAAAATTGAAATTGTATAGGGCCTTTGAAGACACCCTGTATATTTTATGGCAAAAGTGCCAGTTTTGTGCGAATACCTACCTAACTTGTGTTATGAATGTTCGTCTTCAAATTACTGTTTGCACTGACTTGACACTGGTGTAACTCCTTATGGAATATTCAAATAGATTTATCTTGTTTTTGCAGATTGGTGGCCTCAAAATGTACTGGTTTGAATACGTTGGTCATATTGACATAGACCGTTATCACGGCAGTAAATTGGAGGTATTGTACGATTTATTTACCTCATCGAAATTTATTGCCATCGTTGTTATAATAGCAGTTGTATACCTTAATTGAAGGCAGTTTGATTCATTCCATTTATGCTCAGATCAGGCTTCGTGTTTTGTAGATTCGAACTACGAGAATATCAAATTTTGATAACAAAATTTAGGGCGTTTACAAGCCTTCGTTGGGAGATTATTAAGAACGCTCAGGGAAATAAAATGCTTTTTGAGTTTTAGTAGAAAGTTTTGACTTATTTTCAGTGGCGTTCTCCAAATTAGACAAATTTATGCATTTGACCTCATTTACAAAGAAAAAGTCTGTGATTAACATGATAAAAGTAGGAAACAGATTTTAAGTTAAAAAAAAATGAGCAATTGCTCTAACTGTATTTCCTTTTTGATAGTTCTTGAAGATAAACGGAGTAACATTCAATCGAATGACGGGTCGAAAAGAAACATTGGCTCGATATCTCGTCCGAGACGTTTCAAATAAAGTTTGGCAAATGGTGAAACCGGGAAGCAAAAGGAAACAGTCGGTGAGTCAGCCAGGCTGATACTTGTAAATATATGTTCATAAGAACAATCCACATTTAAACCAGGCTTGTAATAAATTTAGTGAATTATTTGAAATATCCTAAATCTTTAAGATTACTTAAGCGCGAAACAATTATCATTACCACATCGGACAATTTTGTGTTGCTTATTATTCCATATACGCACCGCTGATGAGGACATTTAATTTAACGTTAGGTTAAATCAATCAGTTAATGTCCTTATATCCCCTCATATGTTCGCCCAGGAAATTCACTGTATGGTTTATGGTCTACACCAAGGTGCTAGCTTACAATTTATTATGTAAACCTACCGCTTTCTAGCCATTGTATTTCCATTTACCTGTGCTATTTTATACTATTACGACTTAATTTTAGATGAGTCATACTGACGCAAAACATCAACGCATTGCCGAGGCCACTGAAAGAGATTTATCGGATATGTTACAATCGCAAACTAACAGTAAGAATATTTTGCATTCTGTTCACAAGACCGAAGCATATGTTAATATTGATATATTTTATGCAAGCTTGCGCAAAGCAAGGTCGACTCGCGAGCTGTCAACTCAAAACAAACAAATATCACTGATAGAGGAAGTCAATTGAATAGTGTTACATAATATGCTCAAGGTGACCCTAAAATAGCAGACATCATAAAATTTCTAATCATTTCTACCAAAAGTAAATCTATTTAACGCCAGAACTTCTGTTAGTGCGTGATTGTGTCCCGAAGTTTCAGTAAACCAGCACAATCAATGTTTACTCTTCAGAATCCAAATGGCCTGAAATCTATTATTTATTTGGTGTACCCTGTTTTTCTTGTACTATGTGACAGCAAACCTCGGGTACAAATTTTGTTGTATGATTGCATAACCTAATACTATTTACGTCGTTACATGGTATTTCGGAAATTCGAGAGTGACCCAATTAACATAAAAAAGCTTACCTACAAACATTTGTTGTGGCAAATATGAAATTTTATTTTCAAACTATTTTTAGTCAACAAGCCTTCTACCAAGAACAAAAATACACCTATAAATTACAATAAACGACGAAGAGGTAGATCTACGTATAATCGCGGTGGTCACTGGAGTCACGGCAGCGCCCAGAGCAGCAGCGGCGAAGATACAAAATATACAGGCTACAAAAGTGATCCAACTGGGTTTTACTCTACTAATAGTGAGTAAAACTGAACTCATTTTAATATTGAGCAAACTATATGTCACAGAATATTTCAGGCAAACAGATGTGCATCCACTTCTCTACTTCTCTCTATTTTACTGAAAATGATACACTCCAAAAAAAATTTGATCATTCTTAAAACTCCGTACCTACACATATTAGTGTCTGCTTGTTCAAATCCAAGGTTCGAAGCTAAACTGAACATGTGGATACAGAGCAGCGTTTCCAAGTGGTTCTTTTATTAGCATTAACCCTAATCGAATTGCCAAAAGCTCAATTACTCCTTGCATGAAAATGAAGTATTCATATCGTTTATTTTTTTATTTTTGGCGCATAATGCTGATAATAACACCTATTGTATCTTCTGATCCGCTTTTAAATTGCCAAACCTGCACTAGCTCAGCATTCGGCCCACAATCTGTACGGCGAAGTATTGTTATTATGCCCCTAGGAACTGTGTGTCTAGATGACTAAGCTCACTGACTAGATGTTTGCATTGGATGTATTTTCGATTTGATTCGTCTATAGTCAAAAGTACGGAGATTAGAAAAGAAACTGTCAAAACAGTGAACGTCCAAAAGTATCCCGTAAAAATTGCCAAATCACCTTTTTGGGGGTAAATAATCCCAGTTTGGAAATTGCTGCTCTATATCTAAATTTATTCGCAAGGGTTACCCAATGCTGAGTTCATTTTTCAATTCGTGCATCATTATAGATCCTTTCGGAAGAGAACGCTACGAAGAATGCAATACTTCTTTCAACAAAGCATTCCCATTCAGGAATGAAGGTAATGCTGTTAAAATATTTGTTGACCAGTACGATACCCTTTAGTTATTATTCATAATAGAGTTGCAACAACAAAATACAAAACAGATATGAATTTGTATTTATGCTTTTCTTAGAATATTCAAGTTTTGACAAATTTAATTACCATAATTAAAGTTGTAGATTATGCATGAAGTTAACACCCATGCCAAAAAGTTACATAGAATGAATACATGAAATTTTTATTGCATTGTTAAATAAAACCATTTTTTGAAGGAGCGACAATACCGGAAAAGTCATGTCACCCACCTCGCCAGCCATATGAAAATACACGATCTTTTTCTTCTTCACAGCGCCGCGAAGCGGGAATGCCAAATCGACAACGTAAGTCGTATAGTATTTGTAATTTTGGTACATGGCTGACAAGTCGGAATTTAGCATGTTTTCACTGCAGTCGACGTCAAAGTCATTTTTCACGGAGTGAGAGACGAAGTTTTAACTCTAATTTCCCAGATTCGGAATTGCAGACTTTCAATGATGATAGATTGAATCAAAACTAACATAACCTGGTACACATACTACGTTCCGGTGTGCGCCATCTTGGTTCACATACTTCGGTAGTAGGAATACCGATTTTTCGGCTTCTGTATTGCACAATAAATCGGTACATTTAAGTGTTATTAGAACTAATTTCAACAGAATTGCCATCAGATTTCGGTCAATTATCAACAGCATACGCGGACAATCATGGAAATTCAGAAGCAACGGGCGGTTATGTTCACAGAAGCACTTATCAACTAAGAGGTGATAGTAATAATGTGGATGTGTTAACTTGCGATTTTGATCGCGTCCGTCAGAAATAATATAAAAAGTGATTTGTACTTGAATAAGTGTATTGTAACCTTAGCACTGTAATGTGACTTTACCTGTGTGCAAGTTTCTCCCCCTTCTAACTGATGATTTTTGATCTTTCTCATCTAAATATTAAAACGTCACAATTCATTGTCACCAATAACCGTTGCCGTTCGTTTAGTATTAGCCAACAAATATGTATTGACAGTAAATCCACGTCGTGGTGCTTTTTCTTTTTAAAACCAGAAAATAGTTTTCGAGAGACACTTTCTAGAATTTGAAGAGTAAAGCAAGAAATTTTGGTTGTAGCAATGATATAGCGAAAAGTTCTAGAATTGTTTAAATCTTGCGCGATAAGTATTTATATTACTACCAAAAAAAATATTTTAGAATTTATTTATTGCTAACTTTCCTTTTAGGCAACCCTATTGGTATGTATCCGCCTCGAATGCCAAATCCTACGTCACCAAACTATTCTCGTTCGCAGTCAGCTCTTCAGCAACAAGCGGGACAATTACTCAGCCACATTTTAAGTAAGCTCAATAATATTCTTCTGTGGTTTTGGTCATATGAATAGCCAATTTCGTTTTGAAATGCGACATATACGTAACTTGAGTTTTATGCCTTAATCTTGCTTTAGCAAGTTTTATTATCAAAAATGTTCACTCTTGATATGAAACCTTTCCGTTTGTTAATCCCGTGCAAACAGGAATATATCAACGGCAAATCATCGTAGTGGCGTATTTTTGTTCAAAACCAGCATAACTTGTGGTATAACTTTGGTAGCCAGCGAGTTCAACAGGACGCGTGGTCCTGTAGATCAGTGGTTCTCAACCTTTTATGGCTCGTGGCACCCTTCTGGCGCCTTTTTGCACTCGTGGCCCCCCTGTTCGCCATTCGAAAAAACTAAACGTGCTGGATTGCATTATGTTTTTACGATTGTTCATAGAATGCAAAAGGAAACCACAGACAAGAAAGTAAAAGATTTGTAGTATACAATCAATAGAAATCTTGCGATTGGAACTGAGAACCACTGCTGTAAATGAACAGATAAGCGAACAATTATCCAAATTTTATAATTCGGAATCTTAAGTAATAGTCATGTATTGGATCAAGTTTAAAAACTGGTTTTACCTATTTTGTTGTGTTTTTCTTTTAGACAGCCCTACTGATATGCATGCACATCGAATGCCAAATCCTTCGCCACCACACTATTCTCAAATGCAAACCCAGCAACGGCCAAGACAATTGAATTTGCCCAATCTTAGTAAGTTCCTTAATATTTTTCAATAGTCTCGGCTGTCATAAATAAGCAGCTCGATTTTGAAAGTGACAGATATTCAACTTGGATGTTGCTATTTTTATTTTGCCTCAGCAGTTAATAAAAACAATAATGTCGCTGTTCACTCTCGCCATGCCTCCGTTCGTTGAGCACTAGTAAACAAAAATATATCAACGGAAAATCCCCGCGGTGGCGCAATTTGTCTCTAAATCAGTACAATTCTGAATACAATGTTGGGAACCCAGAGAGTCGACGACAACTAAAAAGTATGAAAGAAATAGCCTCTTAGTTATCGAATTTATCCTCGGGTGTATTCAATATATTTCCTTAATACTTTCAATTTTTTTTTTTGACTTTTCGACAAATTTCGCCAGCGCGTGGTTTTTCTGTTGTCCGAGATAATAATAGCATGCTAGCGACAGTCATTTGTCTAGTTGTTAAAAATAAAATCGATTTTTTCAAAAACAACATAAAAAATAAAACGATTTATGAGACAACTTCGTGTGCAGAATGCGTTACTTTTGGAAAATTTGAACTTGTATGCTTTACTCATTGAGGTTGAATCTTGTCAGAGACAAATTAGTCCGGTCTATTGTGTTTTTTATTTCTTTCAGACAATCCACCTCGAATGCCAAATCATCCGTCACCAGATTATTTTCAGGTGCAATCAGCTACTCAGCAAGCGGGACGATTATCAAGTCATGGTTTGAGTAAGTTTTATAATATATAGGTTATAGGACACTTAAAAATCAAATACAAATGTTTAGTGTTCGTCTTAGGTGTGCACTAGCAAATCAAAATCAATCAACGGAAATCTACAAGACGACGCTGTTTCTATCAAACCACTAACATTTTAGTGTTGGGTACTTTGGTACCAACTTTGGTACCTAACCAAATATGTCGAAAGCATCAAGATAATATAAAAAATAGTTTACTGAATAACTAAAATTTCGAACGCATTTGGTCTTAAATAGGTAATCCAACGTTACGCAAAAGCTACTAGAGCAGTGGTTCTGAAACTTTTTGAGCCGCCCCCTTTTTATAATTTGTCAAGTCTCGCGCCCTACCTTAAAAATACGGTAACTAGCTCAATTACAATTAACCGAGAGCAAGGAGAAAGTATGTTTTATTCAAAAAACATGTTGAAAATACTTGGATGGAACCTGAATAACTTAAATAAAGTAATGTGAATATCCAAAATGAGGCGGGTAAGATAAAATCTGCAAATTATTTTTAAACTGTTCCACGCAACCTCAAAAAATTTTCTACGCTCATCGATTGAGAACCACTGGATTAGAGGTTCACAATCCCATGTTATATTCATGTAATAAATATCAGTTAAAGACAAAGCAGATTTATCTATTGTGTTTTTTTCTCCTGTTTTTAGTCAGCCCTACTGATGCACATAGAATGCCACATTCTTTGCAAACAAACCTTTTCCGGTTCCAAGCAGCCCATCAACAACAAACGGGACAAATACCCAGGCCGGCTTCAAGTTAGTGTACTAATATTTTCATTTTTCATTTTATTATCAATTGATTGAATAAAGTTAAATAGGAGCAAAAAAAGTCACGTAAAACGATAACAATTTCGGTTTTTATATTAACGAATCATCAATATGCTAATCCAGTAAGTTGAAAAACGATGTTAGATTTTGTCCGATGTACTGATTATCTAATAGACCCCTTTCGTCAAGAAACTGAACAAAATCCAACTATATAGATAAAAGTATAAACGTTCAAATATAAATAAAATATCATGCAAATCAGACCTTTAATAGAAAAAGATGGGTGGATCTCACACTAACCTATTTTGGAAATGACAGATAAGCACCAGATGAAATAAAATTTTATTATCATTAAAAGTGTTTAAAATTGTATTTATGTTTTGACAGTGTACTTTTCTTATGTTCTATTTTTAAATTTTTTTTTTTAATTAAGTGTGAAACCCGTTTTATTGGCATCTGAACAATTCGTCGACGGCCCGTATTATCCTCTCATTGATCTATGCTATTACAGGCATATTTTTAATGCCCCATTTTTTTCAGCTTTCTATAACAGAGGTACAGCAACTCCCATTAATATGCCAAATCATCCTACATCGCAACCACATCTTGCAGAATCATGGCCCCAGGCGAGTGTTCCAGCCTCACAACAACGATCAGGTGACATAAAGTTTTTTCATATTATTTTACTATTGCTAATTTGCCTTGTAGTCAATCAAAATTGTGGTGTCAAAGCTCACATGGGTGACTCGCGTAGCTCATATAAAAAATTTGTTGGTGTCACCATATCGTGCGGTCTACCTTACCTACTTAATTAAGGGTTAGCTCTATCGCTGTATTTTCATTTCTAATGGATATGGCTTATTACGCATTTAATTCATGTGCATAGAATGTAATGTAAATTTCTGACAGGAATCTGAACCTGAGTCAGTAGACTTCACATATGGTGATAACCTCACTCTATAGTAACCCGAATATTTGCTCGAACATACAAATCAAATATTGAACATACATCAACCCATATCATTTAAGACCAAAATTAGTGAAACTCAAAAATATTTTGTGTCATCTTTTTAGGAAATCGCAACAACTTATCTCCAACCGCTAAATTTGAAATCCATCATCACCATAATTACATCATGCCTCAAGGTTTGTACACTATGCATTTTGTCATTGATGTTACTTGGCTTGTAAATATGAGTGACAAAAAATTAGTACAACTCTTGAAGTCATAAGTGATTCCAGAATTTTGCTGCACAATAACACAAATATATTTTTTTTTCGTTTTGTCTGACGAAGGTCAGACTTCTTCAGACATATAAGTTCAAATATAAAAGTATAACACTTCAGAAAAACATTTGTGTCAATGTGCAGAAAGACTCTTGAATCACTTAAGATAGTTATATCTACTCTTGCTACAGAATCCTTGCATTATATGTATACGGATCCGCCGTCATAAAAGAATAAAAAAAAGACAAGTAGTTAATCACGCAGAAACCAATATCTTGAAGTCATGATACTATATATACAGCAGACAAAATGGTTACGATTGAAAAAATCATCATTTAAGCCCATGGAAAATTGATATTGAGCGATGCCAAAATAATGTTTGTATCTATTTTGCCTCTTTGGCGTGTGCATACTCAACATGCAAAAAAATAAAAGGTCATGGACAAAAAAAAGGCAGTGTGATCCAATGACTAGTGATAGGTTTCGGAGGTCAACGCGTTTTTAAAATGTAATGATACCAGCGAACCCGATACTATTTCAGACGTTAGACGACCGTAGCAAGGAGTTACGTGTTCCGTAGCTGACGATTAGAGTTATATTTGACGTTTCAAAAGTATTTTGTTGGATTGATGATAAGGTTGCCATGGTAATACAGCTTACATAGTGACATACATACATGTTCTAAAATGAGACAACCGGCAACCGAAATAACCTGTTCTCAACATTTATACCACTGCCTGTAATCCAATTATATATTCACTCTAACAATATTGTGAATATCTCGATGCCACAGATTTCTCGTCTATCCCGCTCTGAATGACTGATACATAATACATATATTAACCCTACTCCATAGCGCCACCGTGGACACTTTAGCATGATAATATTAGTTACATTATGTCCACCCTCGAATGCATTGTCAGCGTTATTGATGTCAAGATTAAAATATATATATTTGTTGCTAATACATAAGATGCCAACCTCATCTAATTACTATTGATTTCATGACTGACCAAATAGAACGCCAGAATACGAACATGCGCATTTTATTCATTATTGTTGACGTTGTGCAAGAATTGATGCTTATACTGAATTTTTGATGTTACTGGGAGAAAATATTGCTTTTCTCCAAAGCTACTAGGAAATTGCTTTCAAATTTTAACCATGTCTAGATAGGTATTACTTTTATAAATTTTCAAATCTTCGTGAGATTGTTTGTATTCACTTGATTTGAAAACACACAGCAGAGTGGAGATTGAAATTCCGTGTTCTCATTTGAAAAATAACATCCCTATTAAATTACTATTGCCAGTCTTTAAGTTTCATGTAAGTCAGTTATTGTGTATTTCGCTATAGACTCGCTCACTGGACTCGTAATAGGTGAAGCATATGCAATTGGATAAAATTTCTGATTTACAGGGTGTCGAAAAAGTACACTCTACAATTTCAATTTTGTTAATAAGCCAGTTCTCCATATATCTTAAATGAGTTTGTTGTTTTTAATTGATAAGTATATTCAATTTTTATCGTTTAAGTATTTTTACTTCATTTAATACATCTGTGAGAGCCAAAACAATATATGGTATCGATAAATTCCCTTTGCAATTTTAAAAATTGCTTTTATATACACCCCATACAATCAATAATCTGAAATTGGATTAATTTTATACATAAACAGGATCCAAATACCCAACAGATCAAAGTATCAATATGAATCCACCCGAAGAGCCCGCAGTCTTTGGAACAAATTATTCCAGGTATATTTCAATGTGAAAAAAAAATAACTATAAAAATTCCAGTGACCAGCATACTGTCAAGTCTGGTGATTTGACTCAATTTGGTAATGCATCTGGTATAAGTGTTTTAACAGTGGTCTTTTGCTCAACTTAACTTGTTTATAAATTTGTGAATACCTGTTTACGCTGTTTGATCATTCATTCATAATATTGGTGTTTTTATTCATGGGAACACTGTTATAAAAATTTTTCATGAGCTGTCAAAAATCTTCATCTCGAACAAAGAGCAGTAAAAATGATGCAATTCGTGGGTGTCAAAGCTATCACGGTTAAACATACCAGAAATCAGTTTCTTCTCTACTTAATATCTTGCACCGGGAATTGCCCGATGGATGGCCATCCGACCACGCGCAATCTTTTGTGTTTTTTGAGTATCGCTTTGTAAAAAATTAGCACGTTATTGTTTCTTCTTGTTAATTATCACCTTTTCACTGATTTGTTTTTTTTATTTCAGTCATCCAACTAATGACAATACTGGCCACGTAAGTTCGCCTGAGGAAGATGAAGTACATCAAGGAATATTCCAACCCGTAGCAGATAATGAATCGGAAGGGAATTCAGACGACTCAGTATATTTCTGAGCGAACCACGTAGGCTCCGCGAGCAGATATACCCTCAGTATCACTTAAATAAAATTGGTTTTGAGTGGATTTACAGATACAGATTAACGTTACCTGACAACTTTTATTTCATTGAGAAAACTGCTACAAAAATATAATAATTTCCCACATATGCTGCATGTAAAATGCTTCGCGGTTGTTAAGTGAATGTACATAATTTTGAATCATGAAATTCCAAGTGTTAGGCCCAAAACCACAAACTCGCGTGTGCTGTACATATTATAAATTCGTTTCTAATGAAATTGGATAGGAGGTGAAAATTATAATTTTATGAGTTGGCCAATAACTACTCAAAAAACTCTTTCAAGTTCAAACTATATATGCACTGTATGTTTGTTTTATTTTTATAGTTTAGTGCAACCCTTGTATATTCACTGAAAATTTTGTAAATTTTCTAATTCAACATAAATATTGATTTTCTGCGTGATTCCATTGCACGATGGAAATGGTTATTAATTTGACCCTTATATGGGCGATGTTTATGGTTTAAACTGAAAGCCATCTTCTTATCCAGATAACTATGAACAATTCTAAATACTTTGCATGGCCTTTTTTCCCATGAATATTTCACTAACTCTGTTTGTAAATACTTGTTCTTGCAAACAAAACTTTCTTTTCTTATTTTTTGTTTTGCAAATAAGACAGATACTTTTTTCTAATCAATCATGAGCGTTAATTTAATTTCACTATACTCTTGGGCACATTTTGCTCCAAGTAAATAACTTCGATGAGCATTGAATCTAATAGAGTGGGTCGATGGCTTAGTATTGTCTTAACTCGATTTTCCGAAAATTCAATAAGCAGCGGTTATATTTAACGCAGAGTAAATTTCAATACAACATTCTGCATTAGGTTTTAAAACAATGATCGCACTTTACTGAGCCAACCCTGTTACTGCATTGTGTAACTTTGGGATCCTTCAAAATAATGATTCTAATTCATTTTATTACTGAAATTCCGCTGGTGTGATACCCCTTCATAAACATATTTACTTATATTTTCTCAATGAGAGGAAAGTTACAAGCTATGTATGGCCTATATATTGTACCAGTCGACACAGCATATGTTAATGACCAGGGATAAATAGTTCGGACAACTATGCAAATTGACGCCAGAAACTTATCGTAACTCGAGTCACGTCTTTCAATGACTCTGCACTGTTGTTATGAGATATGCTGTTTTGCGTGACTTGAATTGCGACTCGGCAAACTTATATCCTGGTCATAGCCATTTTTAATTCGAGATATAGTTTTATGAAAAATGTAGCGGATATATTACATTGACCCTAAATAAACGAGTTTGTTCCAATGATATTTATTTTCATCTAATGAATATCTTATCAAAAATACCTGATTCAATATAACCACTTTAATTTATTACTATCATTTGTTAAAAATTGTTGTTGTAGCTAGAAAGCTATTACCAAAATTTCTGTGGACTCTGTGGGATTCGTTTTTCACTTCGAAGTTTGTGTGATGACGTCATAAAAAATGAAAAGCGATATCGTTTTAAGAGAGAGTTTTTTTTAGTGAAAAACGGTAGATTACTTTACCGTGAAAGATTATATACTAAAGTTTAGACTAATTACTTGGTATTTAATATCATTTTAGACATGAAGCATCAATCATCATCGTCACAGAACTTGAGTAAGTTACACAGAACCAGTTCGTTCCGGATATGATTTTTATGAATATTGTTTGGAAATATGTCGTTTTAGCTTCCGTGTCCACATATTTGAGCATTGCTCACTTGTTAATAAAAAAATTGGTACATTCTGTCTGAATTTGACTAAGGATGCTAAGTATGACTACTTACAAATATTCGATTCCTATCCGATTCCAAAAATTAGGATTTCTTGACATATCTTACCGACAAAACATACCCACATGAACACACATAAGAAATCAAACACAAGAGCGATGTTCAAATATATTGACACAAAGGCCAAAACTAGATAGAATGAGTATTCATTCAATCTGTCACAGTAGACAAAATCGTATACAAAAAAATGAACCTCTCAAAGATTTTGGAAATAAATAAACGTAAAAGCTATTAAAGAAAAAATACATATATATATAGTAAAATTGGCCGCGCCGTATCAACGGGCGAGGCGGAGAACCAATGCTCTCGGACTGCTCAGGAATAGGTATCGTATTTGTTGTATTATATTTTTATCACCTGATTATTATTTAGTGCTCTCGTTTTCATTAATTGCAACCACAAAATTTCTTCAATTCTTTCATCTTCAAAACTGAAAAATAAAAATATTTTAAATAAAAACGACTACTGAAATAAATATCAGCACAATATAAGTATCCTTACAAATCATTACCTATCGACACCGAGAACTTTGGCATTTCAAGTATGGGAAGTTTTAAAATACAATTTGAAATATAAAGAACCCTGCTATATCACATTACAAATTGTCAATGCGACGTGTGTTTGAGTGTTTAAACCAGTGTTTCCCAACCCGAGTTTGCGGTCTCAAATGAGTCCGCGGGACGTTTGAATGATTCCGCAACGAGCCCATCAGTCCGAAACTTAACCATCAGCCAAGTTACGATTTACGATAGAATTTACATAAAACAA